ATATGCCCTTTTTTATAGCTGTCATTTTTTAATCAGTGCTTATTTCCTTTGTAAATAAGCAAGTTCCATTGAAAATAAAAAGGAAAAGAAATCTTAGATTTAAAAGATTGTATTAACGGACCGGTTCCCGCTCACTGGCTGAGCGAGGCACGGGAGCAACGCCGAGGGTTGCGATACCGTTGCCGGTCCCCGGTCCGGTACGGGGGCAACACTGAGGGTTGCGATCCGTTGCCGGACACAGAAAAAGACAAAAAAAAAAAAAAAAGATTGTATTAAGAAATTAGATAATTTCAATTTAAGATATAATGAAACTCTAAGACAGTTTCATAGAAAGAGCAAAATCCTGAGAAATGGGTATATTTCAGTTATATTACTTTCTACCCATGTGACCATGGCCATGTTACTTAATTTCTTTCTCAGTTTCATTATCCTTAAAATAATGAGTAATATCTTCCTCATAGATTTGAGAGAATTAAGTGATATACCATGTAATTGTGTACTACAATGCCTGGTAAAGAGCAGGCCTTTGATTATCTATTATTACAGAGCGGTGGGATTATTGTGCTTATTCCCTTTTTAGAAATGTTTTAGTAAATAGATCACAGTAAATTGGATACAATTTCTAGCTTATTTTCCTACAGATATTCATATACTCAGTATCAGAGTTAGTCCTCAATAGTTAAAGAAGTATTAGTTATGCTTTAACCAATTATCTTTATACTAAGTAAATGTCAAGGAATGGTTTTCTTTACAGTGATTTGTTTTTCCTTAGCTTATCTATATTTTATTTTGTTTGGTTCTACTCCAGTTGAATAATTGGTAATATTATTTTACCTACAATATATGTATTATACCATTAGGGTATAGTAATATAATTTTCAGTCAGGTTTAGCAGTTTTTCTTCATATAGATAATTCTAAGAGCAGAAACATTTCTCAGGTAACTAAAGTACTATTCTCAAGGATTTTTTTCTTTTCTTTAAACACATTCAAATTATTGGAGATGCTTACTTGATGAATCTTTTCATCCTTTTTTTACTCTCTTTTTTCCTACCTTTCCACCCTCCTCCTCTCTCATGTACTCATCTGTGGAGCCAGGGCTAAGGCTGATGTCGGCATTCTGCCGACTTAGCCAGTGGTAGAGCTCTTAATCCTGTCCTCACTACACCAGTTGTGGCGCTCCAGCTAGGCTATGGCTAATGTCAAAATCCTGCTCACAGCGCCAACTGCAGAGCTACTTATCCTGTTTGCGACACCAATTGTCTAGCTCCATGACCACGCCAGTTGTCGAGCTCTTTTACCTGCTGGTAATCCTGCTGACTAGGCTGATTGTTGAGCTAGGTCTGGGTCTGGAGCTCCCAGACCCCTCAAGCCAATTCACGGACTGGGTCACAAACCCTTCGTATGCCAGGCTGGGTCACCAGACCCCACACGCCCAGGGCAGACGCCCACCTGCCTGCTTCACTAAAACTCCTCTCTCTCTCTCTCTCAAGAAGAACACAAGAATAGCAAAAAACTAAAAAGATACATTGGCGTGCATGCACACTACACACACACACACACACACACACACACACACATAATTTGCTTACAAAGAATGCTGAACCACACCCAGCTGGACCCGAGGCGAGGGCCCTGACCAAGCTATTCTATTTTCCCAACATCATCCGTTTAGGTTATATGCTAGATGTTGGAGATCCACCTGTAAACTAGACAAATACAAGGGTACTTCAAAAAGTTTGTGGAAAACTAGAATTAAAAGATAATATGGGGCCGGCACGTGGCGCACTCGGGAGAGTGCGGCGCTGGGAGCACAGCGATGCTACCGCTGTGGGTTCGGATCCTATATAGGAATGGCCGGTGCGCTCACTGGCTGAGCGTGGTGCGGGTGACACCACACCAAGGGTTGTGATCCCCTTACCGGTCACGAAAAAGACAAAATAAATAAAAATTTAAATAATAATAATAATAATAATAAAAGATAATATGAATCTTTCCATTTCTAAGCTTATCAGATGCTGAAATAGTTGTTATGTTTGTGAGAACCCCAATAATGCGAGTTTCTGTGTTTGCTCTTTAAACAAAAACATGTGAGGGAATGATCTCAACAATTCCCCATCCATGAGTTGGATTATATAATGACCAGAACTTCTCTTCTTGAGCTTGCAGATGTTTGTGTCTTTAACTTGATGAATAAATTTCTGTTCTCTAAAATTGTGCTCCTGTTTTTCATGTAGTAGACTTAAGGGGAACTATTTCCTGTATCCAGTTCTCTTTTAAATGTGGAAAAATGAAAATTAGGTGACAGCCTATCCTTATCTTACATGTAAGAAATGGGGAGAGCATATTTCTTTGTCAAAGTGGAGAATATTTCTTTGTGTGTAATGAGTGAATAAACATGTCTCTGTCAAAAACATACAGTTTAGGACTAAGGTCTTGTTCAGTTGTTTACAGTAGTATCCTGGCTTTTGTAGGTATTTGAGTTCGTGACCCCCCACTGTAATTTTGTGCTTCATTGTGCACATCTTATATAGCATGTGATTTGTATTGTGGAATTTGGTTTAACTCAGGTGCTTCTTAGTTTTATTCAGAGGTATTTAACTAGAGGTATTGAATTAGAGGAAAAATAAAGTTTTGAGATGATATCCTATAAAGCAAACTCATTGTATTTAAGTTTAAAGATAGAAAAAGTAATAAGGTCTGTGGATTCACTGTACTGTTTCAGGTCCCTTAGTGTGCTAAGTACCATGAATAGATCCCAGGAAGCCAGTGAAATGAAAATGTTGTTAGGTAAAGAACAAAAAGGAGTTTCTATAATGTAGGAAACAAGTATGGGGCTATTATCTTTTAGGGCCTGGTCTAATGGTCTAAAGGTCAACTGAATGAGAGTAATTGAGGAATCCTCAGGTATAAAATAGACTCACAGCACTCTTTTCTAGGGAGGTGAGCAGAGCAGTCCAAGCTAAGGAAGGATCTTAAGGGTTAAAGAAGACTTTTGGGGCTTTGAGAGGGTGTGGGTAGGTAATATATAAGGATTTATGGCATTTTTCTGCAAACAATTGGGAAACCTTGGTTGGGGCTTGAAGGGAATGACATTTAGCAGATATCAGATACGTACATTAAAAAAAATTCACTCCATTAAGATCTTTCTTTCTCTAAGGACTATCTTCCTAACATTTTGTCCCATAACCCAGGTAGACTGGGTGGCTTAAACAACAGAAATTTATTTTCTCATACTTCTAGAGGCTGGAAAGTCCAAGATTAAGGTGCTGGCCATTTTAGTTCCTGGTGAAGACTCTCTTCCTGGCTTGCAGACAGCCGCCTTCTTTCTGTGTCCTCACATGGTGGAGAGGGAGAGAAAGAGAACAAGCTCTCTGGTGTTTCTTTTTGTAAGGGCACTAATTCCAAGAGACCCACTCTCATGACCTCATCTAAACCTAATTTGCTCCCAAAGGCCCCATCTCCAAATACCTTCACATTGGGGGTTAGGGCTTCAGTATATGAATTTGGGGAGGTACACAATATAGCAGTGCTGTAGTAATTTTTTTGTGTGACTTATATCTTATAACTTATGATTTAGCCATTATTAATAATGCTTTTGGAGACTCTTCCCAGAAGAGGAAATTTTTTCCCTTAAGTTATATGTCTCACCATAGTTACCGGGATTTAAAAAATAAAAACTCCAGATGTCATAGTAATAATTTCCAGACGGCACAGCCTCTCCTCACAGATTATGTTACTTTGGCTTCAGTAAAGGTTTTTCCCCCTTTTCTACTCCTCTCCTTCTGCTTTCTTTCAGGAACCCTTTCATGGTCTTATTCTTGTTGTATCAATTTTTGTATGGCCTTTTCTTTTTTGCAGGTGGAGACCACGTGGCTTTGCAAGGCCAGAGTTAATGAAGATCTTACATAATTCACTGGATGATTCCTTTAAACGTCTTATTTGTCCTCTTCTCTGTAGAGAATTCAGGTATGCATCTTTTCTTATTTAATTTTGTGTACTGTTTGTTATCATGTATGGTACTAATTCCATTATAGCATGTAGTAAATATTTGTTGATCGATTAACCAGTTCTAAGAATTAGAATCACAAAGTCTTTAATTTACCTTGATTTCAGTCTGTAGATGCATTCATATGCATATATCGTAAAACATAGTTCTTAATTATGATATACTTTTCAGGCTTGACCATTTAATATGTACTTCTTCCAATTCTGCAATACTAGTCTTGCAGTTTGACAACCAAGCCAAACAAATGGTTTTTAGAGATTTGGCTTTGAGGAAAGAAACTGAGAAGTTAATGGAAAAGGTAGTTGGAGGCAGGTTTTAGAGGTAAGAGAGCCAAAGAAAGCCTAAGGAGATCAGTAGAGGACATTATGAATTTATTACTATGAAAAGAGAATGCTAGTATATATGTTTTTAACTCCAAAGGAGAGTTGTTTGGATGAAAAATTATCAACAGTGATGAACAAGTATTAGGAGATTATTAAAATTACCTTGTAAATGGACTAGTAAAAGGACTAAGAGCAATAAAGATGAAAACTGAAAAGAGGTGAGGTGCAGAATTGTTTTTAGGGGAGAAGATGGAAAGAAAAACCTCTCTTTCTCGCTTCTCTTTAGCCTTTGCCTTGGTAGTCAGTCTTTAGAAACTAGCCATTCCCTCATACATTCCTTCCTGTGTGCTGTAGATTTTCTTCATTTTCACTTATTTATAGGATTCAGCAAGAGCAACCTAGGAACTGTGGATTTCTAGCCATCTCTTCAATCTCACTAGAACTTCTAGTAGCCTGTGTAATATTTATGTTTCTCTTTTGCTGGACTTGACCATTGAGTTCAGAAATGACACATCTTCTTTGTTCAATTTCTTTTTATCAAAGTCATTCAATCTTTCGCATCATCTTTATTAGCCTCGATGGCCCCTAAAAATATTGTTCTTTTGCAATTTTATTTCAAGTCTGTGAAGTAACATCTCTTGTTTTTGAGTGCTAGGGTGTAAACTTTAAAAATAAGGGACTCTGTTGTTGAAGGAAACAGATCTTATTTAAAATTTCAGTTCATTTTTGTATATATTTTTTATCTTGTTTTCTTATGTTGTATATGTCTAGTGGCATTTTTGACATTTTTGCATATATTTGATTTGAGTAGCTTCACTGCATGTGGAATAATTTTATTGAGATTTAATGTAAGCAGTTTGGTTTGGGATTGTTTAATGTGTAATCCTTTTCTGATTTCCATTAGCAGTGGGCAAGCAAGAGTACTTTTCTCTTTTTCTAAAATGCCTGTGTTTAAAAAATATAACTTAGTTCTGTTCATAAGTTAGTTTGCAGACATTGTCTACAGCGCTGTCTCTTGATTTAAATACTTACCTTAACAGCAGTTGAGGGGGAGGAAACTCAATTGTTGTGTTTTTTTTTTTTTGTTTTTTTTTTTAAGAAAAATACTTCTCTAACTAAAAGGAAACTTGTTCTAATTATAGACAAAATTGGAAAAATCAGTAAAGCAAAAAGGAAAAAAACCCACATAATTTTACTACCTAGAGATAACTGTTGTTAACCAGACTTTTTTCCGTTTGTGTGTGTTTAAGAAATCATGTAGATTTAATTATTTTGCAGTCATTTTATTCAGTTGACTGTATACTATGCATAACCTACTTCTTCATTTCTTATTTCTAAGACTGTCATAATATCCACGTGTCATTTTCACACTTACCCCTCTTATCAATCTTATATTTTCAATTATCAAGTGCTACCTATTTTACCATCTTTTACTTTGTCTTGAATTTTGCCTCCTCTTGATGTCCGTGGTTACTGTCTTAATTCAAGATATCATTTCTTGTTTGGATTACTGTACTGGAGTCCTAGATGATCTCTGTCTTGTCTTTTTCAACATTTATTCCCCATTGCCATTTTAAAACTCCTATCTCTTTATTTCATGCTTGTCTACTTAAAATCCTTCAGTGGATCTTTTTTGTCTCCAGGATAAAATTCATGCTCTTTAGAAGAACATGTTTGGAGCCGGCCCGTGGCTCACTCTGGAGAGTGCGGTGCTGATAACACCAAGGCCCCGGGTTCGGATCCCATATATGGATGGCCGGTTTGCTCACTGGCTGAGCGGGGTGCTGACAACACCAAGCCAAGGGTTGAGATCCCCTTACCGGTCATCTTTTAAAAAAAAAAAAAAGAAGAACATGTTTGACCCTTTGTGATCTGATTTTTTTTCTTGCCTTGACAGCTTTCTGTCTTCCTATTTCGTTTTACTATAGCATATGAAAGTACTTGCTTTTTCTATAATGAGCCATAAGCCTTTACATATACTGCTACCATTGTCTGGGTTTTCTTCTCCTGTCTTCCATCTACTGTGCCTACCTTAACTCTACTACTTTTTCTTCTTGATTTACCTCAGAAGACATCTGTTTGCTTAACTCTACTCCTTTTCCTTCTTGATTTACCTGAGAAGACATCTCTTCTAGAAAATTTTCCTTGTTTAGCTCTCCCTCCCATGCGATCCCGTTCGCATAGTGCTTAATATTGTTGTAGGCTTGTTTGTTTATTTTTGTGTTTCTTCAATCAGACAGTGGTCTTAAGGGCGGGGATCTTATCTTTTCAGTTTTGTATCTCTCGCAGCAATCATGGTACCTTGTGTAAGGCTGACAACAAATGCTCACCCAATTAGTAAAGCAGAAAAAGTGAAGAATTAGAAATACGTATAATGGTACTTTTCGTGTAGTTTGGCTGAATGCAGGGAGAATGACAATGAAATGTTAGGGAAGACGATTGAAAAACCTTAAGAAACTAAATTAAGCCAGAGAAGCAAACATTATTTAGCTGTGTGCATCTTGATATATGTAGATAATTCTACCTCAACACTGATATGAAATGTACTTTGAGTTGCTTTTGTACTCTAAATTTTCTTGTGGCCAATTGCATGCATTTTTTATTTGGCCTAACAGAGAAGACATACTTTTTATAAATTCTTACGAATTTCAGGAGATATGTTGAGAGCGTCTGTTAAGTAGATGAATACTGTAAAGCTTAGTTTCCAAATGCCTTTAAGCCCATGATAGATGTATGTTTTTATCCTAGAAAGTCTTAAAATTAGATTTTTAATAATTTCTCTGGATAAAATTTGGAAGTTATTTATATGAGGCATAGTTCTGGACTGGCTATTAGTACCTATGGTCATTTCATGTCACAATAAGAATGATAAGAAAGTAGAGAAAAGAATAAAGTGAGAAGTTGACATGGAGGTATTTATAGGTGAAGGTGTTAAACTAAATATTGTTAGAGGCCTAAGTCTGGCTGCCTGCCCCCTTTCAAAAGCAAACCACTCTAAAGTCAAAGGCTGGTGAAAATGGAAGTCAGCTTTTATTCAGGAATACTGGTAAACCTGAGTACTTTAGATAAACCTGAAGGAGAATGGCCAGGCTAAAGCTGTTGCAAAGACTCAGATTTACTGAAGGGGTAGAGAAAATGGAACATGGGAAATGAAAAGCACGAGGGACGGGGATGTAAGCTGTGGGAACTCTGTGCAATGAGCCAGGTGCAAGGTCTTGCCAGGGCTCCATCTGGTTTCTGCTCTTGTCCTTGCTGTTATCTCAGGGTCCTGCTGGCGGGGTGGAATCAGCATAGCTTTATTGATGTCTTCCTTAGTTTCCCAGGGTCTGGATAGTACTTGCAAGTCTGCAGCGCCAGGCTGACTGGAAAACAACTTTACATTTATACAGATAATATCATCTTGCCCCATAATCAAGGTTCAAAATATTAAATAACCATAGGGGAACTCAGAAAAATGCATGCCAAGAAAATAACTATGTCTTTTTAAAATCTTTTAGAGCCCATGTGGTTTTATGTTCCAACATAGCTTTAGTCCCACTCCAGTAATATCGTTGGAGGCTACTTATGATTTGATAATTTGTCATTCTAATTTTGTGTTTATATTTTTAATCCTTTGATAAACTTTAACATCCCATGTGACAAATCTGTATACACTCTCTGTCTTTCTCAAATTCACACATATTTATACATACTGGTTATGTATATAACAGAGCAGATACAACAGGAATGTAGATATGACAAACTCAAGGTTTGCTTCAGAATTGTCTGTGGTATGATGTATTGCTGATTAGCAAAAACAAACTCAATATAATTTTTGTATATGATGTTTTTTCTCCTGAGTTGTTTTGTTATAATAAGTGCTCTTGTGAGGAATAGTACAAAATGAATTCTAATTTTCTGGAAAGAAAATTTGAGTGTATGAAAAACAAAGTACCTATTTTCTTTTCTTTTTTTCTATTTCTAAAGAGCCAAACTAACATCAGACGCAGAGAAGGAATCAGTAATGATGTTTGGACGGAATCTTCGTCAGCTCCTTTTAACAAGCCCTGTTCCAGGACGCACCTTGATGGGAGTGGATCCTGGTTACAAACATGGTTGCAAATTAGCTATAATTTCTCCTACAAGTAAGTTGTCTTTCAGCTTTTCATAGAATAGTTGTTTGCTTGGGCATAAGTTTCACTTCATCCATTTCCTGAGTATTTGGAAATAATGTTAATTTTCAAGGCTTAGAAAATGGTTTTCTTACATACATGGATATGGGAACCAGAGAATCAAACTTTCTGCTTTTCGTATTTGTTGGTCAAAACCATCAACATATGGCCATCATTTATACCTTTTCCTGTGCCTCAGTGGAGATATTGACGATTAACTAGGCTCAGACTCAAACACTCTTTATCTCCCTATCTACTTCTGTTTATTGTGATGCAATTTTATGTGATGCATTTTAGTTCTGTATGTATTTTAAATACCAAAAGACATTTTTATTGTTTTTTCCAGTCAGAATATTTTTCCTGTTTACTCATGTATTTACCTTTTCAATTATTCTTCATTTCTTTCTGCATTTCTGTGTTTCCTTCAAGATCATTTTCTTTCTGCTCGAAGAACTCTATGCTGTTACTTTTAATGTGGGTCGGCTGGTGACAAATTTTCTCAGTTTTTGTTTGAAAAAGTCTACTTTGCCTTCATTTTTGAAGGATATTTTTGTTTGCTGTAGAATTTAAGATTGGCAGTACATTTCAGTACTTTAAAGATGTCATTCCATTTTTATTTTATTTTGGGGGGCTACTACAGTTTCTGTTTAAGAAGTCAGCCAAAAATCTTATTGTTGTTTCTTTGAAGGTAATATGCTTTTTTCATCTGGCTGCTAAGATTTTCTCTTTGTGATTTTCAGAAATTTTCTTATGATGTGCTTAAGTGTGTGTATGTATGAGGGTTTTTCTTTTTTTTTTTTTTCCTGTATGAATTCTACTTGGGGTTCATAGAACTTCTAGCATCGCTTTCTGGAACTCCAATTGCATGTGTGTTAGACCTTTCAATTACTTTTTTTCCCATTCTTTTGTTTTATTTTCTATTGATTGTCTAAGTTAATTAATTCTCCATTCTATTATGTCTAATTTGCTATTAAAACCATCTATTGAGTTCTCTAAGTTATTGGTTTTTCAGTTTTAGAATTTCCATTTGATACTTAAAAAAAAATAGATTACAGTTCTTTGGTAAATATCTTAAATTTCAATATTTAAAATTTTTCTTCTTGTCTTCTGTTTCTCTTATGGCATTTACTGTTACGTTTATTTGTTCTCATGTTTCTTTTTAGGTTTTCACTTCTGAAATAATTTTTTTCTTTCATATCTAATTCATTACTGAGATTTTCTAATTCTGATTTATGATTTTTTCATTTTCTGTGATGTTCCTTTTTTAAAGCTTATTCTCATATTCTGTTTTGTGGGCACATCTTTCCGTAAGGATTTTATTACTAGTCTTTTTTATTTTGTTTTAATAAATAATCATTCTGTATGGAATTTGACCATCATCCTTTTCTGTTGCTTAGTTTTACATAAAATTAGTTTTCCAGAAATTTTAGGAGAGGTTGGGCCAGGAAAGGTTTGTTAGTTGTATATCCGTAGAACTTTCCCTTCTGGTTTTTTTTTTGGAATTGTTAAAAAAAAAAATTATGTGGGTAGAGAGATAATCCTGTACTTCTGGAATCTGCGTTTCTGTTGCTTTCCCTTCTTTTAACTGGACTTTTTTTTCCCTTTGCTCATATGATCCTTACCTTGCTCAATTTGGAGGTGATTCCCAACTGCTTCTTTTCAGGTGGGATTTTGTCTTGAAAGGGACCTTCTATTGTTTCATAGGGATCAGAGTTTTCCAGTCCTTTCTGATCTTACAGAGCAACCTTTGTATTGAATCCCCCCAGTTTCAGCTCTGCTTCTCAAACTGTTGTGATTTCCAGGGAAGTGTCTTTTGACATTTTGGGGATTCCTTTGGTCTCAGGTCCATCAGATAATATTGCTTCTCTCTGCTTCCTCCTACACAGATGCTGATGCATGGAGGTCTTTTAGCTATCAATGTGTTGTTCCCACCTGCTCAGTTTTTGGGTTTTGGGGAGACATTTTGTTACCTTTGTTATAGATATAGTCATGGGTTTTTGGTGGTGTTATCCTAGTTGTCTTTTTATGCTAATCATTTTTACAATAAATGGGAAGCATATTTTATCTGTTTTTTCCTTCATCTTTTGAGATATCATATGGCTTTTATCCTTTACTGTGTTCCTGTGATGAATTATACTATTAGATTTTTTTTAAATGGCAGATCACACTTTCTTACACAAAATTAACTTGATCATAATACTTACTTCTGGATATGTTGCTGGATCAGTTTTCAGTTATTATATTGCTTATAGGCTAATTCTTTAAATTTTATACACATACACACATATATCCTCAGTCTATTTTTGTAAGATTTTTTTTTTTTTTTTTCTTTTTCCGTGTCCAGCAACGGATCGCAACCCTCAGTGTCGCCCCGTACCAGACCGGGACCGGGACCGGCAACGGGATCGCAACCCTCGGTGTTGCTCCCGCGCCTCCCTCAGCCAGTGAGCGGGAACCGGTCTGTATGTGGGATCCGAACCCTCGGGAGGGAGCGCCGCCGCGCTTCCCAAGCAGCGCACTATCCAGTGCGCCACCGGGCCGGCCCAATTTTTGTAAGATTTTTCTAGGAATTTATTTTATCATTTAATCTAAATTAATGTAGTTATTTATAATAGTCTCTCTGTATCTTTTTAATCTGTGCTCAATCTCTAGTTTTATCCTCTTTTCATTTCTTGTGCCTTCTAACCTTTCTTTTTCTTGATTGGTATTGCTAAAAGTATGTGTTTTTCTTATATGTGATTTTTAACTTTAAACTTTGTTGATCCTTTCTGTTGTATTTTTTTTTTTTCTATTTCATTAAGTTCTGCTTTTATCATTTCTTGCCTTCTGCTTTCCTTGGATTATACTGTTGTCCTTTTCCTAACTTCCAAAGTTGGTTTCCTAGCCCATTATTTCTATGCTTCAGGTGGTTACCCTCAAATTTTAAAAAATATTTTTAATTAAAATAAAATTATCCAGTATTATCCAGCTAATAATATTATGCAGAAGAAAGTATCAAGACCAAGTTAAGTTTATTTAAGAAAGTGTGATCTGCCATTTTTACAAAATCTAATGATATAATTCATCACAAGAACACAGTAAAAGACAAAACCCATATGATATCTCAATAGATGAAGGAAAAAAATAAAATATCTGTATAATGCAATACAGAATAGCTCATAATTATTAAATATGCAGCTCATCATAATTCACAAGGTAAAGAAATTTATATATCTACATCTAGAAAGAAGAATAGTATCACAACAGTGTGGTATGTAGCAAGTATTCAGTAGCTTTTACTATTACTAATGTTAGGTGTTAAGGAAAATCATTTCTCTTTTATGTATTTTGGCATGTAGTATTATCCAGCTAATAATGGTTTTGTGTAGCAAAATACAATCCTTGTGACTTTGGAACTAACAATATTTCAGAGTTCTTAGGCAGAATCTGTTTTAGTGGATACGAATCATACAGACTGCATTTTATTTTATTTATTTATTTGTTTGTTTGTTTATTCTAATTTTTATTGAATCAAAATTGATTATACATATTTTGGGGGTTCAACATTGAGATACAATGATCAAATCAATATTATTAACATATATATTGTTACAAATTGTAATTATTCTTTATGCCCCTTGTCCAATCTCTCCCCATCCCCTTCTCCCTCCCCCCTAGAGCAGATACTTCTTCACTCTGAAATGGGCTTTGTGGAGAGACATCCTCTTCTTTACCTCTGCTGGTCAATGCACTCCAGTGGCTGGCAGACCATCTATGTGGTGGTTGTGGCATCTAGCCGCTTTCGTGGCAGCCATGTTTATTGTGGTGGCTGTGGTGGGCCACCCGCATGGGGGTGATGTTTTTGGCATGCTCCTTTGTGCTGGTGGTGTGCCTGGTTTTGGAGAGTGTCTGATCCCTGGCTACATGCCTTGGGTCCCTGGGTAGGCCCTTAGGCACTGGTGTGGTGTGCTTGGTTGTGGGAGGGGGTCCAGTCCTCTTCTCCATGCCTCTGGGCCCTAGGCGGGCCCTGAGGTGCTGGCACAGTGTGCCTGGTTGTGGGAGGGGAACCTGGTCCCCTTTTCCATGCCTTGGGTCCACGGTGGGCCCCAAGGTGCTGGCCCGGTGTGCCTGGTTGTGGGAGGGGGGTCCATTCCCCTTCTCCATGCTTTAGGTTCCTAGGTGGGCCCTGAGGTGCTGGCGTGGTGTGCCTGGTTGTGGGAGAGGGGTCCCACCCCTGGCTCCAAGCCTTGGGTTCCTGTGCAGGTCCTGAGGTGCTGGAAGTGTGTGTGGTTGTGGGTGGGTGTCCTGCCCCTGGCTCCATTCCTCATGTCCCCTGGTGGGCCCCAAGGCATTGATGGTGTGCCTGGGTCGGAACTAATTTTTTGTCCTTTGCTTACTTCTAACTCGGGAACTTCCTGTGGGAACCAGTACTTGAGCTGTGTTGTTGAGCTAAATTCCTGCTTTGCTGCTGTTTCCCTAGGGAAGACTTTTTGTGCAGCTCAGGGTTTAATGGTCGACCTTATAGGTACTTCCAGCTCTCCAGAGACTCAGTGCACCTGGGTTGTATAGAAACTCTGATCTGGGCCTGAGGTTTTTCATCAAACTGCACCCCATGCAATTCTGCATTCCTGACCAGTCTCCTCTGAGTGGTCCTACGCTGATTGGGGGCGGATCAGCTGCCTTTGTTGTGGCCCAGTGTTCTCCCAGTGGGCCTGTCTCCCCCACCGCCTGTGCTCCAAACAGTTCCCATGGGGCGAGCCCTGTGCTGGTCCTTTACATTGACTCACCGGCCTATGAATAGCTCCCCTTTTTCAGCAGTTCTGGCTCCTTGCTCCTGTGTGGGTCCACGGGAACCCTCTTAGTGGTCTTGCTGTCCTGGGGGCCACCAAAGTCCTCTTCTCCCCTGCCACCTCCAAGTAACTCCATCTGAAGGGCACAGCTATGGCATCTGCCAGCTCCTGCTCCATGTGCTTCAGCATTAAAGTGGCCGTAGCCCAAAACATTCAGAGCAGTTTTTTCTTTTGCTCATCGTGGTTTCTCCCGCCTTCATGAGCTCCATAGGTTTCTCCTCCTCTTCCCCTAAGCTCCAGCAGCCCCAGCTTGGCAGATGTTACATTTTTATAGTTGTAGATTGGTTGATTTGTGGGAGAGAGTGACGCTGGGGACTGTCTATTCTACCATCTTGACCGGAACAAGACTGCATTTTAAAAGACAAGCCCTTTTCTGTTACAACTTGCTTAATTAAATCGTTGGTATGCTATATTTGTAATTTCTTACAAAATGGCTTCTTTTCATTTTTTTAAGGTCAGATACTTCATACTGATGTGGTTTACTTGCACTGTGGACAAGGCTTCCGAGAGGCAGAGAAAATAAAGAGGCTTTTGCTGAATTTCAAGTACGAAAATAAGTGTTTTTGAGTACTTCAGTAGCTCAGCCAATCAGAGATACCTTTAAAGCCCCTAATTTGGAGGGAGGGATTAAGGGAAGTGCCTTGGTGAGAGAGAAGGAACCATGTAAAACAATGCCTGGGCAAATTGCTAGAGAGCTCTACATATGGAGACTCTGGAGGAATGCTGCTCTCTTCCTCCGCCAACTTCACAAATAAATGTGGTAATATGGGCAAATGTGAGCATTTAATTCTTTTGTTTGGGTTTCCTTTCCTCCTTCCCTCTCTTCCTTCTTTCCTTCTCTGAGGAATGGATGTGGTACTAGGTAAAGGCTTCAGAAATTGAGAAGTATATGATTCAGTTGTAATGTCTTTATTGAGACTTGGAATGTTCCAGAGTTTATTCACTCATGTCTAATTTGGTTCCTTCTAGATAGGAAGAAAGCTGATTGTTCTTGAGATTATATGACAGTAAGATATTTCTCCACCACTTCCTATACCAAATGCAGGAGCAGTTCCTTTTATTCTACATAAGTCTATGTTTTCGTTGTGAAACAATGGAGAGGTTGCTTGACTATACGAGAGAATAAGAGCATCCTATAATAGTATTTGTGCGTTTTCTTTATTTTCTGTGGTCGATTTCAAAGCATGCTTTGAACTCATTGAATTTCTCATTCTGTTTTTCCCTTGAAGCTGCAGCACAGTGGTGATTGGAAATGGAACCGCCTGCCGGGAAACAGAAGCTTACTTTGCTGATCTTATAATGAGAAATTACTTTGCACCACTGGATGTTGTTTACTGGTAAGGAATGTTTGTTTTCTTGCATGGAAACTTATATCTTTTGTGATGAATTCTCCCTTCTCATTTTAAGATATGCCTCCTATTTGCCCCCCAAGCTACCTCTTGCTGTTCATATGAGCTTTGCAGGATAATGTAAAGTATCTGTCTCTTGGAGAAATTTGAGACAGGAATGATTAGAGCAGGACAGTATCCTGAAACCTCTCAAAGAGGGAGCATCTTAGGGCTCACTTAGTTTCATGGGATTTTCCGGGTTGTACCTTGTGTTAGGGCTCTAGTTAAATATTGACTAGTAAGTAGGATGGTGTACCAGGCTAGGAGCTGCAGACTGTGGATAACTTAGCCTTCTTCTCCCAAAGTTTTGAAGCCTATGAACCAGTGTCATAACTGAGAGCCAAGGTAGGTATTATAAATTAAAAAGCACTTCTGATGTTTCTTTCTCATTTGTCTTTTGGTCACAGGCTTTCATTTCATACAGGCATGCAGATAACTTCTGTACAGCTTTGGATTAGCATGACCCAGTTTCTCTAGTACTGAATTTCTCTAGTACATGACCCAATTTCTGTGTACTGGTAACTGTCGTTGTTCTGTTTTCAATCACCATTGTTTCCCCACTTTCTCTTTGGATCTCAAATAGCCATGTGTACCTTCTCTATACTACAGTAAAATATTAAGTCCTAGAGAGTTTAATTCCAGAAGACAGGGTAGTTATAATAGCTGATATTTAGGGGAGAATGCCCCCCCCCCCCACTGTGCTCCAAACACTTCCCATGGAGTGGGCCCTTGTGATGACTCACCAGCCTTTGGCTCCTTTTTTCAGTTGTCTGTGGCCCCTCGTTCCTATGTGGGTCCACAGGAATTCTGTCAGTACTCTTGCTGGCCTGGGGGCTACCATGGCCCTCTTCTCCCCTGCAGTCTCCAAGCAACTTCACACAAAGGGCACAGCTGTGGGTTTTGCCAGCTTTTGCTCCATGTGCTCATCAGGGCCAGCCTTGAAATGGCCGGGGTTGGTTCAACATGGTTCCTTTATTGCTTTGCAGCTTCTCCCACCTTCCTGAACTTCGCAGGTCTCTCCTCCTCTTTACCCTAAGTTCTAGAAGCCCCAGCTGGGCAGTCGTTGCTTTCTTAATAGCTGTAAATTGGTCGATTGTTTGAGAAAGTGATGTCTATTCCGCTATCTTCCTTTTGCCCATTTTTTAATAGGTTGTTATTTTTTTTTATTGTTGACTTGTAGGAGCTCTTTATATATTAAGAAAATTAGTCTTTTGTCTATTATGTATTCACATATTCTCCTGTTTGTGTTGTCCTGAGGCTTTATCTATGGAATTTTTTTAATGTGGAAATTGAAAATTTTCTATTATTTTTTAATTGAAAACTCAAAGTTGTATATACATTTATGGGATACAGTGTGATGCTTTGATACATGTATACAATGTGGTATAATTAAATCAAGCTAATTAACATATCCATCACCTTGCATACTTAGCATTTCTTAAGGTGAGATATTTGAAATTTACTCTTATTTTGAAATATATATTATTTTGACTATAGTTACCTTGGTGTGCAATAAATCTCAAAATCTATTTCTCCTATCTGTCTGCAACTTTGTACCCTTTGATTGGCAACACTCCATTCTGTCCCTCCCTACAACCCCAGCATCTAGAAAATAGCGTTCTATTCTCTACTTTTATGAGTTCAACTTTGTTAGAGTTCACATATAAGTGAAATCATGCAGTATTTGTCTTTCTGTGCCTGGCTTATTTCACTTAGCATAATGTCCTTCAGATCCATCCATTTTGTTGCAAATGATAGGACTTTCTCCCTTTTTAAGACTCAATATTCCATTGTGTATATATACCACATTTTCTTTATCCATTCATCCACTGATGGATAATTGTTTTTTCCATATCTTTGCTTTTGCAAGTAAGGCTACAAGGAACATGGAAGTGCAGGTAAACCTTTGACATGTTGATTTCACTTCCTTTGGATATATGTCCAGAAGTGGGATTGCAGGGTCACGTGGTAGTTCTATTTTTAGTTTTCTGAGGAAACTCCATACTGTATTTCATAATGACTGTGCTAATTTACATTCTCACTAATGGCGTATAAGAGTTCCCTTTTCTCTGCATCCTCTCCAACACTTAACTTTCAGTTTTTTGACAAAAGCCATCCTAACAGATATGAGGTCATATCTCACTGTGGTTTTAATATGCATTTTCCTAATGATTAGTGATGCTGAGCATTTTTTCATGTACCTGTTGGCCATTTGGATGTCTTCTTTTGAGAAATGTCTATTCAGGTCCTTTGATCATTTTTTAATTGGGTTAATTGTTTTCATGCTACTGAGTTAATTGAGTTTCTTACACATTTTGGATATTAATCCCTTGACATCTACCATTTATTGAATAATCCAAATTTTTCGCGCTGATTTGAAATGTCACTAATATCTTTATAGTAGAGCCCTATATTCATTTGGGTATTTTTGAACTCTGAAATGTTTTGTTCTGTTTGTCATAAACAGTACCACATTATTTTGATAACAGTGGAATCCTGAAGTGTTTCAACATATACTTCTCCCGTTATTTGACATTTTCAGCATTTTAGAAAACTTTAGAATCACCTTTTCTAGTCCCCTCTCCCGGTAAACATCTTTATGGTAGTTTTCATTGTGTTCAAATTGTCTGTTAATTTAGAGAAAATTTACTATTTCATGGCTGTTCTACACAATAACTGTCTTTATGTTCTTCAGTAACATATTTTTGTTTTGTTTTTTAGTTTTTTTGCTATACTTATTCTTTTAGCAACATTTTTTAAAACAGTTTACCCATTTTAAGGGTACTTTTCAAAGACTTTTAGTGTGTTTACAGAATTATACAACTATCATCACAATGTAATTTTAGAACATTTCTGTTACCCTGAAAAGAAACCTTGTGTACATTTGCATTCTCCTTTCCCACTCCAACCCTAGGCAACACTAATCTACTTTCTGTTTCTATACATTTGCCTTTTTTGCACATCTCATTTAGATGGAATTATATATTGTGTGTTTTTTGTGTCTAGCTTCTTTGACAGAGCATGTTTGAGGTTCATCCGTTTTTTAGCATGTGTCAGTTACCAATTGGTGAATAGTATTCCATTGTATAAACATATCACATTTTATTCATCTACTTACTATGTTATGGACGTTTTCACTTTTTAGGTATTGTGAATTATGCTGCTATGAATATTTGTGTACAAGTCTTATGTGGACATCTGTTTTCATTTCTCTTGTGTAGATGCTTAGGAGTAGATTTGCTGGGTCATGTGGAAAGTCTGTTTTAACTTTTTGAGAAACGGCCAGACTCTTTTCCAATGTGGTTGTACCATCTTACATTCCCACTAGCAATGTGTGAGGGTTCTGATTTCTCCACATTCTTGCTGACACTTACGATTATCTGTCTTTTTGATTATAGCGATGGTAGTGGGTGAGAAATAGTATATAATTATAGTTTTGACTTGCATTTCCGTAATGACTAATGATTTGAGCATCTTTTCATGTGCTTATTGACTGTGTGTCTTCTTTGGAGGAATGTCTATTCAAATCTTCTGCCCACTTTTAAATGGGGTTGTCTTTTTATTATTGAGTTATAAGAGTTCTTTATATATTCTGGATTCAAGTCAGTATATGACTTGCAAATATTTTTCTTCCTACTCTTTTTACTTTCTAGATGATGTCTTTTGAAGAACATGGTGTTCCATTTCATTGAAGTCCAGTTTATCAATTATTCCTTTTATTGCTTTTGCTTCCAGTAACATTTTGAAGTTTTCTTCATAATGATCTTGTATATTTCATGTGAAAACTTTCTTTTATATTTATCTCTTTTCATGTTTCTATGAAGAATTACTATTTCTTTTATATCTGTTTAAAGGAATGCTGTTTTTTATGTTAATTTTGTTCCCCAGCCATAGTACAGAATTTTTTCATTGTTTATAATAGGTTTTTTAATTGATTCTCTTGGGTTTCTACATGTATAATCATATTATCTACAAAAGATAGTGAATTTACTAACTCATTTTTGAGTTTTATGCCTCTTTATTTCCTTCCCTTGTTTAATGGTATCATACAGTATCTTCTAAAAACTGTTAAATAATAATGATGATAGTGGACCTTTTTTTCTGCCTCCTTTACTTTTTTTGAGAATACTTCTAGTATTTGTCTCCTAAGTATGATGCTGGCTTTGTATATTTTTAAAAAATCATTTTAGAAAATAGTCTTTCTTTATGAGTATTTTTAAAATATTGATTTATATTTTATTGTTTTAAACATCAAGATGAACGATAAAGTTTATGCCTTTTCAGAAGTGTGCTATAGTCATGTGGGGTTTTTGATCAATATATGGTGAATAATAGCAGTAATTTCCTACAATTGAGCCATCTTTGCAGTTCTGATTTGAACTCCACTTTGTCATAGTGTACTGTTAATATACTTGTAGAATCTGTCTGCTAATGTGAAATTCTTAAATGATGCAAATATCTAATCGAATTTACAGAGAGTGCTTTAGGAAAATCAGCTGTTGGATTTCATTTTGTTATCATTTTACCAGTTCAAAGGGGCCGTTTAAAGAAACCATGTTTTTTCCATCTAACAATTTTAAGTTACATTGAAGTCAAAATCTCCATGCTTTCTCTGGCAGTCATTTTTAGCATCCTCTGACCTATCCATCTATCTTTTCTGTCACTTATGTCCCTCCCTACCCTTAAAAAACCTTACAAACTCTGATACTTATACCTACTTTGGGGCAAGTCATCCAAAGCTTCAAAACCTAATTACCAAAAGAGAAAAAAATTAAACTGGAATTATATTGCAGAATGTAACTATGCTAAGGCTCAGTTAGCCACATACGTATGAAGTCGGACGTGTTAGTGAAAAATTCTGCAGTATGTTATGTGTCTTTTGTTTAAAAGTACATGCTGGAATGGTTTGCTATTTTCAATCCTCTGGAACATAATAGGCACACATTTTA